AAGGATTGTTTCTTTTGCGTCTTGATATTTTTCATTGCTCAAGCTTATTTAAAAATTACTGTAGTATGTAATTATATGTATAAATTCTTATTTTGATTGCATTTTGATTGCATTTGTAAAATATGCAAGATATACATAAGAAACCCTATTGTTATTGGACTCTTTCAAAAATAAAGTGCAGAGTAGGAAATGTTTACAATTCCACTCTTATTTATGATACTGATATGTTTACTAAACAACCACTTTATTTTCAGACTAATCATCGGTGGTGCCTGTGTTACCATTGTATTCCTTGTCATTTATGTGAATTTTACAGACCAGGCCCCCAACTCCAAAGTAAGACCTATACGATACTCAAAGTATCTTCAACTTAGATTATGTTTTATTATTGATTTATCATTATTTATTACTATTATAATGTGTTATGAGTATTACTCATTGGATATTACATGTAGTTACTTAAATTTAAATAAGTGATTGTTTGTTTCTTTTTTTATATACAGGAGAGTAACACTGATTTTATACAAGTGTATGGAACGCCTATTGTATTCAGTCTCGTTAATTTGCTGGTTCCTGCAATAATAACCAAGGTAAAATAACGTCACGGTGGTATCACCAACAATGATTGAAAGAAAAGAGCTTATATATCTATAGCCCTTCATTATAATGAAAAGAAGGCATAAATGGGAGATATTCATTTCGAATTTTGTAGAAATTATCTCACGTGTGATGTTTCTTGAGACGGGTTAAGATACTTGCATAAAAATAATCACTCCTGATTAATATAATTACATGGATACCAGGGCCACTAAAACAATGAAATATATCTTTAAAAACTTATTTTACTTACATTTTGCACATGTTTGCTGTCTTGTTATAATTTTAAAAAAAAGTTGAGCAGTTAATATACTAGTCCAACATTTATGTAGTTTATTTAATATAGGTCTAAGAATGATACAAAAAAATGTATAGCTCAGTAGTATACTAGTAAATAATTTTAAAAAAAATACTCATACTGAATTTGATTTTTTAAATTTATGAGTTTGAAATTTAAAGAAAGAGTTTATGATCATGCATTGATGTATACATGTTAAGGTTGACATACACTATTTTCTTACATGTACTAATTCATATGAATTAACAAAATAATAGTTTCATAATGTAGCAGCATGTATCTCGACAAAAAAAAGGTGCTTACAATGATAGAAAGCATTTTTAAAATTGTATTTTTATCATATTAAATAAAAGTGTAAATCGTTTTTCTTGGTATAATGGAACATGTAAATGAACTGGTAATTATAGAAAAAATTGTTGTCATTTTCAGATTGTTGCTCCACGATCATGTTAGTTTTAGTGTACTGATGTGAACTTCTATAAATGTGTTAATAACGCATATTTTATACATCATTAGTACAATTGAGGACACAGTTTACCTTAGGTTATATTATCAGTTCCGTCATTGGTGACTTTTTCAGCACGAAATTGTAATTTATTGCGTTTTACTGGGAAACCTCGATAGAAATCGGAACTAATCTTTGAGGATTATCATATATACATGTATGTATAAATGTCGGTCGCTAAAATGGCCATTTAGTTTCCTGTCGGTACAAGGCATAAATGTTGCTATGCTACTAAATTAAAGATACCAAATTGTCACAATTGGTCCAAATTTTGTACATATATATAGTATTTATGCATTAAAACATTTGAAAAATTTGTTACAAGTAATTTGACAATCTTTAAAGAAAGTAATCGAGTGTTGATATTTCAGAAAGCGTGACTCAGCTCTCATGAGATCCGACTGTAACAGTTTATATCACTGACAATCGATTTTTTAAAGAAAAAAAGATGGAAGGTGACGCAGAGCAATGTATATGTCCTTATGCTTTTCAGAATAATTTTTAAAGAAAAAGCAATGTATAAAATACCTTTTTATCGTCAGGAGTAGATATACACTTAGTCTAGTAGTAAAAAAAAATGAGTTTTAGAATTAAGTTTTTGAAATTGTAAACGAATAATGTAAAAAAGATAAACTAAAACCAAAACCAGAAGTCTCTGTCGAGACTGTAACTCCACTGGTTTGTACTAAAAAAAAAGGAAGAGAAAAGTAGCAGTTGGGACTTAAAACTTTACAAACGCAATAAATAAGATAAATGATCCTTGATTAAGTCTATTTTTGTGGCAAGATTGCAATAAGACTACATCTGTAGGAGTAGCTTTTAATAAAACTGTAAAGAATTTTCAATTTTAGTTACCATGGCAACATCAGTCATCAATTTCAAAAACACAAAACTGATGCCTATGTTTCTCAGTGTAAGAATTATGTGACTTAGTGTTGTCTACCTGTATGCCAAGTTATATTGAAATCAGACCAAAACTTAGCTGCATATCTGTAGCGTTATGGTTTTATATATTTGTCTTTGACCATAACGCTACAGATCCCGTAATGCAAAAAAAAGGTGCACTTCTGGGGAGAATTTCTCCACTTTTTTGCATTGGTCAATCAACTACCTTCCACTCCCTAATTCTAGACATATTTTGTTGCCAATATGAATATTTTATCCACCTCCCGACCATTTATAGTTGTCTCTGCAGGCAATAAACTCGTTGGAAGTGAATTTTCAGCAATCTAACAAATAATTCTAATCAAGCGAGTTTCTCACTTGTAGAGACGACTATAAAGGGTTGGGAGATGGATAAAATATACAGATAAGTTAAATATTGTGCCTAGAATTAGGGATTGAAAAGTAGTTAATTGACCGATACTAGAAAGTGGAGAAATTCTCTCCAAAAGTGCGCAAAAAATATTGCACCATAAATTGCACCTTTTTGCATAACGGGATCTGTAGCATTATGGTCAACGACATTATATAAAACAATAAAATCTGCAGCTAACCAAAACTGTAAGCATTTTAAAAGTATTTCAGAGAAATTTCTAGCTTAAGTAACCACGGCAACACCATTCATCGAAATCAAAAACAGATAAAAAGAATTATGAATCTTAGTGTAGTCTACTTGTGTGCCAAGTTATATTGAAATCGGACCAAAACTGTAGCAAGAGAGCATTTTAAAAGTATTTCACAGAAAATTCTATTTTTAGTAACCATGGCAACACCGTTCATCGAATTTAAAAACCGATATACAGAATTATGTATCTTAAAAAAAAATTATACTGAAATCAGACCAAAACTGTAGGAGGAGTAGCATTTTTAAAAATTGTTTACAGACAGACAGACGGATAGACGCCGGACGCATTACTATCGCATAAGCTCTACTGGTCAGAGAGAAAAGAACATTTAAATACTGAAAAAGATGTCTAGAAAATGTGACGTTTTTTTTTATAAATTGTATAATTACCTCAGTTACCACTGATTGAGAAGTACTCCAGTGGGAAGGTGGAGTTGAGTATCACTCTAGCCCGAGTGTTTTGTCTGCGGATGGCCAATCTCTTTGCTCTCATCGTGACCCTATATAGTCGTCTTACCAAGGTACGTTTTATCCCAAGAATTGTCTTAAAAGATGGAGAATTGTTTGCTTCCTTAAGTACTTAACACTGTCAGTCAGTTTATTTAGACATGAAATATAATAACAGCTTTTTCAGTCTTAAATGACATTGTAAGCCTTATCAATAGTTTATATATGGAAGAACCATGACTTGCAAAGACAATCCGTTATAAAAAGGATTTACCTGGTGTGATACGAAGATTATTATTTTACAATAATACTTTGCCTTCTTTTGTTTCAAAGGTCTTAAAATAAACACATATTAGCAATCCTTTTCAGTTGACATATGATTGTACTGGAACAGTTATAGGACAAGAGCTATATAAGCTAGTGGTTATGGATACATTTGTACACGTATGTGTTGGATTTTTCCTACCTTGTTTAGTCAATGAATTGCATTTGTTTAATTTCTAAGTAGAAAACAATATTTTATTTTTAATAATGTAATGTGTTTTATGATGGATATTGTAAAAAAAAAAATTGAAAAAATAAAAGAAGTCAATTCCCTTTTTAAAAAAATAAATTTCCTTTATTGAAATAATGTGAATAAGAGTACCTTATAAAAGATTCATGGAGTCTAAGCATACTCTAAAAACTTTTTTTGGCCAGGTCATCGATCAGCTTACTTATAAATATCATATAAATAAATTTGTATACTTGTTTCTATTAAAATCATTTTAAAGAAAAGATTCAGCAAAACTTATAACGAGTCATATTTACAAAATAATTATTTAGAAGTTATTTTAAAAGCAATAGATAAAATTATTTAAATAATTTAAGATATAAATAAAGTTAAAGTTCTTTTTTATTGTTGCAGTTATTTGGACAGTTAGCAGTGAACTACATTCGATATTTCTGGACGCAAGAAAAGTCAGAATTTGTTATTTCAGGACAAGCATTGGTTCTGATTTACCGACAAGGACTGATATGGGTAATGTATGGAAGCATATTAAGATTTATCTGGAAGATAAATGCATAAATTGGTCCTAAGTTTGCATTTACCCTGACTGGAAGAGAAAAATTGTTTTTGTTAAGGTTGTAAATATGTATATCTGTCCGTCATTTACTGTGTCCAAGGGATAAATATCAAGTCCTTTCTATATTGGAAGAAATTCACATTATTATCTTGACTCGAAACTGGCACATGAGTAATTGAAACTGTTAATGATCATAAAGATATCAGGTGGTGCCTTGAGCCACCATGTTACTAAAATTCTTTGTCAGTTCTTCGCTAAAAAAAAAGTTTTAAAAGTTGCATTTTGCTGCTCGCAAAGTTCGCATTAATTTACATAATTATTGAAAAAGACTATACTAATGAAAGAATCGGGCATTTTACTACTCAGGTTGGTACCCTGGCCTGTCCTCTACTCCCCCTGATCGGTGTGTTCTCAGACGTTGTATTCTTCTATGTGAACTACTACATCGTAAGAGACACCTGTAAACCCCCTTTGAAGCGCTGGAGTCAGTCAAGGAACACCGGTTTCCTCACGGCATTTTTATTGATCACGCTCATCCTGATTATTATTCCAATTTCCATTGTTATCGGCAGGTATGCTTTTAAATAAGAAGAAATAAACTTTTCTCTATCGAAATTCAAAATTTTGAAGCTTTTTGACAAAAAACGTCATACAGTTACATTTAAATGTATTCTTAATAATAATAATATAATAATAATAATTTCCTTGTTTTTTCATAGTCAGCAAGTTATCAATCTGGGACAATCTTCTAGCTGTGGACCCTTTGGTCAAGAGAAGCCTACATCAGTCTATACAAAGTTTCAGCTTCAGCAGTCCCCTTTATTCCAGAGAATCATGCAGTGGGCAGTGTCAGATAGTGTGGTTTTACCATTGTTCCTCCTGCTGTTGTAAGATACTTATATAATCCTAATATAGTCTAGATAATGCTTCTCGCTGATTTTCTTTTCTGTTTGAGAGAGAGAGAGAGAGAGAGAGAGAGAGAGAGAGAGAGAGTTAGTCATAAATATTTTATGAGTGAAATTATTATCATTTATTCAAACTTAGTAATAAATTCAATTGCCTATGTGATATGTATGATTACTATCTCCCATTTATATGTTTAAAGTGCATGTCTTCATATGCAAATCTATCTTTCTGTTGAAATGTACTTTCTTCCATAGCAACAACGTGTTTACCATTTTTAGCTCATATTATCATGAGCTAAACCCTCAAATGAATTTTTCTATTCAAATGTCTGTCATCCGTCTGTCTAAAGATTTTACATTTTTGACTTCTTCTCCAGAACCACTTTGCCAGTATAAACCAAAATTTTCCGTAAAGACCCTTGGGTGAGGGGGATTAAAGTCTGTTTAGAAGAGGAGTAAAATCATCTTTCATGGGGGTGAAATCATGAATTTGGTTAGGAATAATCGAAAATTAAATGGAATTTCTGTAAATCATCCGAGAATCACCGGGGCAGAAAAGTTGAAGCTTTATTACATAGTGTAGACACAAATAATTTAATTTTAATTGTAACACATCATTTGATTGGGTAAAAGATTTAATCCATTTCGTATAACATAACTTGCCTACGTCACAATGAGTTACGTCAAAAACGTATTACTCTGCTTGGAGTTTCTTTTAAAATAATGCTCAATTTGAAGCCTTTTTCCGGAGGAAATATTGTCTCGTTGTCCACATTGAAATTAAATTATAAGGAATGAAGCTTATTTCAACTTATGTTATCAGATATAACAAAACTTGGGGCAGTTTACGCTTTCTTCGTAAACTGCCCCTAGATATATTATAATATCGGATAACATAAGTTGAAATTAGCTTCATTCCTTAAATGTATTCAAATAATGAACCTTATGTGATCAAAGTTTTACCTAGGAATATTTTTTAAAATCTGCTGATGAAGAAAAACGGGGCCAAATTGACTCAAGTGAGCGCTGTTGCCAATTGTCCTTTACTTTGTTAAGTGTAAAATCATTTTCATGACTCATGTATACATAAACTTAATTTCTTCTTTTTTTTCGTATACTGAGTAATTGATAGATGAATAATCTTTTTGCTGTTTAATTGTCTGAAATTTTAGAAATTCTTTTTTACAGAGCATATATATTTTACCAAAGAGTGTTGATATCAGGGGAGAAAAGACATCGCCTGATACTTCAAGCAGAATTATTACAGGTAACACGGCGTGCACGCATCTTTCTTGACTGGTAATACCAACTTACATAATACAGGGACATTTTTTTTTATTCCTTCAATGTTCAAATACTTTTATAAATGTTTCATAGAATGTTACTTTAAAGTTACTTTGTAGGATTACATGTACATTAAATTGATACCAAAATAAAAGTCTGATTTGGAAGTAATATCTGCCAAGCATTTTCTTATAAGAAATATTACTGATAATTTTTATGAGATATTGTCTAAAACAAAACAGGATACCTTTCTTTGTAAATGTTCAAAGTGTTGTCTTGAATTGTTCAATAAGTGAACAAAAGATAAATTTAAGACAGGCCAAGAAATCAAAAATATACTTTAGTTGTTTTTATTAACAATCAAACGTCAGAGCAATGTTCGTCAACTTTTTTAAAGGTTATTAATTTTTTAAAAAAATAAATTTTTCTAAATTATTTTTTGTAGGAATCTGAAGACAATGCTGATTTACTTGGAAAATTACAGGGTATACCAAGTTATTCCTAAAAATCGGAATAATAATGATTGATCGTTATCATCCTAAAAAGGAGCATACTCGTAAATTTCATTTTTTTTATTATTAGAAGGTATTTTTAATACATCATAGACACAATAAACAACAAAAATACTAGATTTACAACACGAATTTTATATTGAACATATGATTGTAATAAACATGGACACCATCTATTGTAATTTCTCAAATGAAATCTAGAAACACTCTCTGAATTACAACATTAAAAAAAAAACACGATATTTTTTATTTTTAGCTAAATTATTCTTATGTCAAGTGCCATCTCATTTTTAATCTATCAGAAAGCTGTAAATACCTTTAAGCATGAAAACTTCAGCAATTTTCATTGTATAAAATGACAATGGGCACCTTGATCAGATGACATGAATTTGTGTCAAGGATTTTTTTTTCCATGAGAAGTAGACATGATTGAGACACGAATAATTATGCCAAGTCACTGCTCTTTAATGATCTGTCAAGAATTTCAATTTGGAAACGTATTTTCTTCCAGAGAAGGGACTTTTATCCGTGTTTTATTTTAGCATAGATAAGAAATCGTTTTAATTATTTTCTTTTACATGTTATTCATATGTTTTGAAGCGTTTTGCATAATTATAAAATACAAAGTTGTTGAGAAGCATGGTCTGTTGAAAAGTAGAGGAAAAACTATAATATACTAAAAAAGAGAATACATTGTTAGTATTGTACATGCACATGCGCATTACATTTTGCCGACTGTACAAATATTTTTTTTTGTTTTCATATTAAGAATACAATTGTATATTTAATGGGAAGATTGTGAAAATGTCTTATTGCAAATTTTTTTGGTGAAGCAATGATGAAATATATGAATTAATTCAACAAAAGGTATTTTTCTTGATATAGATCTTCATGGTTATAAATGCTTTGAATTCACAAGTGAATAACGACAAAATTACATAAAGTATGGGTTTAAGTACTTTTCTCACATATCTCAATGTATGCTTGATTGTTCTCTAGTGATCAACCGTCGCCAATGTTTTACTCAGTTTATCCCTTTAAAAAGCCGGATAGAAATTAGCAATAGCAGACAAACAGACAGAACATTTAGGAATAAAGAGTTCGACAAGTTGGACCCTGTTGATGTTTTCTTCTCGATAAGCCCAGAAAGGTAACTTTTATCTCCAACATCCGCTTTCCATATAAAGAAGTTGAACGTTCCAGTGCTAGAGGAATTCCCAAGAAAAGCTTGAGTATTACGAGAAGTAAACCACAAATATCCTTTGTCATCGACAAAGGGACTTTCTAACCACTGAGTCAGACAATTTTTTGTGACTAAGGATTTTTCCAGAAATGGATTTTGTGATCCTGATTTGGAATAATCCCATTTGTAGACGGAGCCACTACTGAGATCGGTTAAATATAAACCAGTTTTACTGCTATAAAGTCCTGTGCTAACAAAATCTTTGCCCCCAGCCTCTTTGACAGAGTCATCAATATCTTCACTAGAACTGTTCTCATCTCTTAAAACGGTAGTACTTATTTGATACAATTTTTTCCCGACTAAAGGTGTGTAATAAACATATTGAAAATTTGGAGAAATAGCGATGCCTTTAATCCCATTTCTGTGATATTTAATGCCGCTTATTGTAATATTTTCATTTTCGTTCTCAAAGTTCATTGAGGAGTGCGTTATATGGCGAGCTGTTTTGTTTTTGATGTCAAAAATAATTAGACTATGACCCAAAGAGTTTGAAATGTATGCAAACGCGGCAGTTTCGCCGACATAATCTAAGACAATATCTTCAAGAAAGTATTCTTGACCAAGCACACTATCCGGAAACTCATATCGGAACGCCTCTGACTCTTTGTATAAATCATAAACAACCAGTTTTGGCTTACATGACTGGCCTTTGGCCGTGTCCAGAATCAACATATATCCTGTGTTCATATCAATCTCAAGGCTTTGAACAAATTGCAAAGCGTTACAATCGCCTAACATATTCATAGCAGCCGATGGAAAGGGTATGATATAATTATCGTTCAAAACACCAAGTGTGGCAACAACGCCATCTTTTATCCTAGGTATAGTGACATAAATTTTGTCCTTGTGCACCCTAATTCCGCTGATTTCATTATTTTCAAGAATGAATTTGCTTGAATTTATTGCTTCTTTTCTTTGTATGCATGTTGGCCATTCGTATTCTAAGCTCACCCACTTGTTGGCGATATTTGCGGGGTGTGATCCTGTTGAGACTGACGCCGAACATGGTTGCCTAGGGCTGCCTCTAGGAGCAGATAGGTATCCTTTTTCACCGACATACACTTTCCATACGTAATAATTTGTTCTGCCAGGGGAGGTGCTATTACCAAAGTATCTGTGTAGGTTATTTGATGTAAACCAAAGATAACCATCCTCGTCCATACCAAGGGAATCCACCCATTCTATGGAAGAATTTTGAACCACTACCTCTTTCTTGTTTTTCACGATGTCCCAACGGTACACTCCATTTTGACCTAAAGTTGAGTAATACAGATATCTTCCCTTGCCAAAATAAAGTCCATCCGACTGAATATGTTTGTTTCCGAGAATTTTAATGGCATCGTTTATGTTTGAATTGTTGTTTCGGAGAGCAGACGTTGAAACACGGTACAATGTTTGAGAAGCAAGAGGGCAATAGTAAACTTCACTGAAATCAGAAGATAATGCGATTCCATTTACACCTAGTGGTGTCATACTGCTTTGGCCATTTATCTCAATATTAGCGTATGCAGGAACTCTTTCAAAACTAGAATGAAGAAAACTGTAAGACCTTTTTTCTTTGTGATCATAGACAACCATTTTCCATCCTAAAGTATCACTAATGTACACATACCTCACTTCGTCCTCAGATCCATAGTCCAATACAAGATCATTTAGATAGAAACGCTGTTTAACCACACTTGCAGGGAAAATATATCTGCCTACCTCAATGTTACGATTGATGTCCCATATCAATATCTTTGGTGAGCAGTGGTCAGCGACTTCCGTAGGTGAGCGAGGAACATAAGCCGTATCTAGGATCCACATGAGTCCCGTCTCAGGATCAATCTCCATGCTTTGAACCAACTGAAGCTTACTGCAGTCCCCTTGAGTGTGCATCTCCCAGCTGGGGTAAGCATTCAGTTTCGGCGACTTCACACTGCCCTGACCTTTGTCCACCTTTCACCAAAGAAGCAGCTACGCCATCCTTCAGCCTGGGTATTGTGAGAAATATATCCCCTTTATACAGTTTTATTCCGTTGATTGCGTTATTTTCCGGGATGTATTTTCCAGAGTCTATGTACTCTTGCTTCATCGTATCGTTCGGCCAGTTGAACTCCACTGATACCCAACTATACACAAGCTCTTCCTGATGGCTTATGCATTTGCTTGATGTCCGTTTTAATAAGCTCAAAATTGTGATCAATAAAATCACTTTGCACTGCACCATCTTGTGCTGTTATTTTTTTGTTGAAAAACTTAAGAAATTAGTACACATTTATATGGTCCACTTATTACCCTTTTGTTAATGCATGAGTGGTCCAAATGAAAAATTGTGAATCAACCCCATGAATTTTAAACTGTTTTCTCTCACAATGGGAAAACTTTGGAGGATTTTAAATACCTCATGATCCCTGGGTTGTAAATAACAAAAATAGATGTGCGATCTAGTCAGCAAATCGTGTAGTCGGGCATTTATCAATGACTTCGTTTTTGTCATGGTGGATGTAAGTCATAATGACGTAAGGCATAGTCTAAAACCTATCTATAAAGGCGAAAATGTACCGAAGAGTCAAACTCTTTCTGCCCCAAATTTGGCACATATGAATATATTCTGAGTTTAAAAAGATCAACAGTGATACAAAACTTTTAGTTGATCTACATTTTTAAACATGGCTTTTGCTTGATAAAGCAAAACAAGTTTACTGAGGAATGTCATAAATAAATATTTTAAAGATTATTTTAATTCATCTCGAATACTAACTTGTTATTTTATTATATTTAAATTTTTTATTCAATGATACTTTCAACACTACGGGGAAAACGATGACTTTGCTGTAATTTTGTATAAATTCATTGTGTGTTCCGTGTAGCTTTTTTATCTTAAATGTTTAAATATTTCCCCTTGTTAAATTTGTTAAGAAAAAGCGTCGTCGTGCATCGGACACAAGTCTCTAAAACATAAAAACAACATAATTTGTACATGTAACTTATTAATTTAAATTGAATTTTTTTATAAATGCTAACGTGGATAACAAGGAGAAATATACTTTTAGAGGGGCTGGGTGGTTGTGACCATTTTAAGACTATTTTGTTTTCTTTTAAAAGAAGAGCTTTATATAAAGATATAATAAAATCATCAAATTCTAAAACTAAAATTTATGAAAATTTTCTTGGCCAAATGATAGTTGACAGCTTAAGATATCATGTCTAAAAAATAAGTTTTATCTGGTGGGTTAATTTGTTGACCCCCTAGCCTCCTTAAAAGAACGTCAGTGAAGAAATTAAAATTCTCAATTTGTATTTGATATTTAATCAAAGCGATACTAATTTTGGTGTTGTCCGATTGCATGTAATTTGCGCCAATATCAGGAGAAGTATAATTTAACTTGATTTCACTTGTTTGGTTTATCCAGGTTTTTAACTATACCATGAATCTATAATGTGAATCTAACGAATAAAAGTGAATAAAAGTGCTAACTTTGACTATTAACCGCGTTTACCCAAACACTTCTCTTTATGTAACATTTTACAATCGATAAGATCTCGTCATAAAATAAGCATTACCCTTTTAGCGTTTCCTGCTGAAATCTGCATTTATAGACATTTGTGATACCATGCACGAAATAATAGAGTTACAGCTTAACGCACTTTTTAAACTCACTTGGTTTTTCGCAAAAAATTAAATTCACATTTTTCTTGCGATAAAACTTGAAATTATCGAGTTTCAGTACGAGACATAACCCTTATATTATTAGATATTTCATGCTAAAGGTGCATATATGCTAAAATCATTATCTTTACACAAAAGTCAACTTCACAAAGGGAAATTGTTTATAAATTGTTTTTTAATTTTAATGAAAGGTGTTGCCGTAGGTATTTACAAATTAATTTTCTGAACTTTTTTGATACTATTTTGGTTGATTTCAATATAACTTGGCACACATGAGTATTTTTCTAGGTACTTTGCACATTTTCCATACTTGTTTGGTTTTGTGAAATGTGTTGCCATGGTTAAAAAATGACAAATTTCTGCATAAAGAAATCATTTAAAGAATAGGATTATAACACTCCACCATGGCACTTGATCCCACCT